GGGACAAGGGATGGAGTTTATAATGAATATACATTAAGATTGTGATGATGTTAAAGGTACAGTTTATATAAGGGTGAAACAATTCTTAATATATTTTTCAATAAGGTGAAGGGTGGAATGTAAAGGACACAAATTGCAGGGGATGGCAGTGGTGACCTGTGTGGAGACCATGAACTGCTCAGTGTCAGCCAGAACCAGTTACCTCCAACACCAATGTAAACACTATGTCATACCAAAATTTAAACCCACGGTGCCCTGGCTTAGACACACTGTTGGAAATACAGGTGCACAATTTGAAAGAGATCCATGCTGAAAGGGCTTACTTCTGAGGGGACTGCAGCTGGTGGATGAGCCATGCTGGAGCAAGGAAACCCCTGAAGGCACTGTGGCCACTGGGTGACCTATGCTGGAGAAGGCATACCACTGAAAAGACAGCGGTCTAAACCTTTGGCTCTCCCTGCACCACAGCAAACATTGTACCTTTACTATTCAATAAAAATGGGTATTTGGTCTCAGCAGAGCTGTTTCACCTCAGCCTGGGGATTGCTGAGGGTTTTATGGGTTGCTTCCTTCAGGAAGCTGCAAAACAAATGTTCTTGGATTACGTGTTGATGAATTGAAAGTGGAAATTTTGGGAAGAAGGTCCTAAGGTGCCTCTTTTCTTGAACAGAGTTTTTACTATTTTTCCATGAAACCCAGTGTGCAACTTTATGATTATGTGTTTGGTCACCTGCCCAGTAGGAGGAAACAGAAAGGTGACACAGCCACAAAAGCAAATACTTCCTCATCTCACTTGGTGGTGTTGTTAAAGGAGCCTTGATTGTTTTGATGGCTTGAATTTGGGCATCAGGTGGAAAGGAGGTTTGGGGATCAGTTCCTTGAGACCTACTCTGCATGTCCCCTGTGCCAGATATGCTCCAGAGTGGGTGTCTGTGCGTGTAGGCGTATGTGGGGAACTCGGGTGTCCAGCTCTGCTGTCACTGGGACTTGTGTCTCTGCACCATGCCTTCTGGGACTGGGATCTGCCAGAGGCGGAGAGGCCAAAGGGGTTGGTGGGCTCAGACCCAGCCGCTCCCCCATGGGGGTGAGCAAGCCCCTGATACTGCAGTGCTGTGGGAGGGCTTGGGACCCCCAGCTGCAGCCCTGGGGCTGTGGGGCCAGGGCAGTGGTGGGAGGGGGTTGCTGGGCTGAAGGGGGCTGCTGGAGGAGGTGGTTGGAACCAGATGGGCCATCGTACCTGAGCACCTGTCCTGGGCTGGGTGCCCTGGGCTCAGAGCATTTGGTGCTGCCAGGGAATTGGCCGTCGAGGCAGGGCCGGCGGGGAGGCCGGCAGTTCGGGCGCAGCGCCGAGGGGCTGAGCCTCCCCTGCGAGGAGGCAGACACCCAAGTCTTGTGGCGTCTGAAATGCCCCCCAGCACTGCTGGGGGGTGGTGGCCAGCGAGGAGGGGGCAAGGCGGGTCTCCTCTGAGGGCTGGCTGCCCTCTGGTGCCCGCAGGGGAAAGTGCCGAGTGGCTTTGCTGTCCCAGGGAGGATTCGTGTCCCCAAGGTGCAGGTGAGTGCGGGCGACCCGTGCATACTTCACCTTTGTTCCCAGGGGAGAGGGTGCATGAAGTCTAGAGAACCTAAACAGAGCAAGTCAGGTCTGAACCAAGGGCAGCTCCCACCATGGGTGTAATGGATCATGCTGAAGGCTGCTGTCTTGTTCAGCCCAAATCTCCCTTGGCAGTGATGGGAGCTTAGAAGTTGGCCCTCAGGTGGGTACCTAAAGTTAGAGGAGATGATTCCCCAGTAGAGACACTTCAGCAGCTGCCTGTGACTTCGGAGAAAAGGCCAAGGACAGCTGTGCAGAGTGCATCTGAAATACAAAGCATATCTTAAAAACAGAACAGCAAGTAAATTCTCATTTCTTTTGTTTGGCTGCAGTAGGTTAACATCTATTAGTTCTGTACAGAAGCACTAAAAATACTTGTACTGCATTCCTCTGCCACATTTTGTTTCTGTCCCAGGGGGTTGTATATTACCGTCTTTTGGAAGTTTTAGTCTGAGAAAAATTTAACAGTTTTATCTGCAAAAAGCAGCATATCAAACTCAACAGAGCTAGTAAAGAACAAACTCAGTTCCTAAAGTCAAATAGTATTGGGGGTCCAGCATCCTGTCTCACTTCTAACTATAATGTCTACACAGGAGCATAAACACTCACACTTTCAAAGCAAAAGATCTTTTTGGTCAGGCAGGAATCTTTTATTTCATTGCTGCATTTAAAGATCAGTTTTCTCAAATATAGGCACTTGAATGAAATGGCAGGTGCAAGTTCTGAGTTTTTTGTTTGGGGTTTGGGTTTTTTTTTTTTGCTTGTTAACAATTTTCCATATAAGGATAGAATTTTACAACTAGCAATAATTTGAAGCACATGTTGAAATTGTGTTGTATCCAAAATCCACCACGCTGTTGTATTCTGACACATAGGAGAAAGCTTGTATAAAAATACTGCCGAGCATGCACCTGTATGTTTTCTGCATGTGGATTTTTTTTCTTTTTTTAAGAAAGGGATAAATATTAAAAAAAAAAAACACAAAACCCCAAACCACACAAACCCTTTCTCAGTTAGTTCTGGCATGGTGAAACTCCTGGTTGTCTCACTCATCCTAAGGAAGATAGTCTTTAGTTCACATTTCTCAGAGATTTTTCTCCAGTGCTCAGAACTGCTGGATATCCTCCTTAGCCTGTTGTGTTGATGCAAGATAAAGTATAAATGTGAATGTGTAGTTCAAAGTCTCTCTCTGTTTTCTCCTTAATTCCGCATTTTGGCAGAGAATTATGAAAGCTCACATTTTATTCTTTAGAATAATTTTACTGTATCCTTCTTTCAAAAAAGAAACAACAACAACAAAATAATCACTGAATACATATCCTGTGACTTCATTGGCTGCAGGTGGAAGGATGTAATAAGAAAGCTAGATAAATTGATAGGAAGAATATCAGACCAAGCTCTGGAGGAGGGCAGATATGACCATCTTCAGTATTCTGCATTAGAAGGGTACTCCTTGTGAGTTTTGCACCTCAAGGGAATAAGACTTAATTTCAACCATATTTTTTTTTAATATTAGATAAATTCTAGGGACTTATATACATATATTTTAGAATATCTTATGTCATCTCAAATTATCAGTGTACCGAGACAAACATTTGCACATTGTGTTTTTTTCCTGTTGGAATGAGTGAGAACAAGTACTAACACCACCTAAAGTTGTAATGTATCTGAGGTTCATTGTCCTGTCTCTCCCAGAACCATAACACTGAAGCCAAAAATGCAAGTCTTCTTCACACTTCATTTGAAAACAAAAGCTTCTTTCTTTTTAATCACATAAAAAGACTAAGTTCTTTTTGCATTTGTCACGGGGTAAGGGAGCACCAGGTAACGTGACACTGCTAAGCTGAATTCACCAAGTGGACTAATGGAGGAATAGCCTGTCAGGAAGAGTGTTACAGAGGCACAGGAGTCTTGGTACATGTAAGCTATGGATGTGAAAGTGATAGAAGAACAATACCTGGAAGTACTCACAAGACATAACATTCTGTCCCTCATCTACTATACCAGCGAGTCAGTGTGGTCTCACCTGGGGGAAATGCAACACTCTGACCTGTCTTAGTGTCAGGCTCTGGGCAGTGGCTCAGCACGAACACCTACCATTACACCTTGTCTCCACATCATTTTGGATACCTGTGGAGTGATGTTTCCCCATAGTCTGTTTTATTGTGGGTTTTTAAAGCTAGATGCTAGCACAGGCTGGCAGCCAGATCAGTCTACACTATTACCATATAGTTTCCAGGTGTATATACCAAAACTGCTTACGCAATTCTTGTTTGCACTGGCTGGTCAGCCATGGTTCATTATATGCAGTTATTCTACTCCTGATCGAGGCAAGATCTTGATGCTCCTGTGCCATTCAACCTCTCAGCCTTTCTGTCATCTGTCAAGTATCTTTCATACATGCACTCATACTTACAAACTAGTAATGTACAATGCAAGTACCTCAAGCTTGTAGAAGTGTATTCACTTGTTGCACACCAAATTGTAATAGAAGTTAGTATGGCACAAACAGTCAGTCAGCATCGTGTCCTAATACTATTAACCTTTACAAAAGCAGGTTTCTGTTGTCTAGTTCTCAAGCAAGTTTCCAAAACCACCTTCTTGCTCAAGATACAACTCAAATTTCATATGCTTTTCTCAGACCCTACAGCTTGATCTGGTGTGGATGTTATAGACCAGAATGCAGTAGTTGTACTGCAGATGCCCTATGTCCACCAGCCCAAGGCACATTGCACTTAACAGTCCCCTGAAGTACCATGCTGTTGCAACACCTCCTAGCAATCCTAGCACTGCCCAGCAAGGCTCACCTGCATCCTCCACCATGAAGGACAGGCTTTGTCAGGGGAAAGCTTTACTCATACATACAGTTACAGTTAAGAGAAACCTGTCCCAGTGACCATTCCACTGACTCAGCACAGCATAGCCTGGAGGGAACATAACACTTCCTCCAGTGTCAGGCTCTGGGGCAGCAGCTCAGTATTAACAGTTCCACCTTGCACCCTCTGCTTCTATGCAGTACCAGGCACCTGCTTAATGCAGTCTCCCCTCTCCTCCCAGTATCTGTTACTCTGGGCTTTTAACAGCCAGATGTCAGCACAGGTTACCAACCAAATCAGTCCACAGTGATACCACTGTACAGCTATCCAGCAGTTTCAGGTGTTGGTCTCCTGTTGCTTGTTGATCCACAGTCCGTACTAAGGCCTGTCATACTTGGCTGTTCTTGTCAGCATTGCTCTGTCAACCAAAGCTTACTGCACCAAGTAATTCAACTTTTGATCAAGACAAGATCTTGATGCTCCTGTGACATCATTTAAAATGGAATATGGATAATGGTTTCCATTGACACTGTTGATGCCAGTGGCTTGGTTTATCAATTTTTCACATTAGAACAGAACTTCAAAACCAGCAGTAATCTAAACATTTTTTATTTGGATAAGAATAAAATTGAACACTAATTTCTATCCAGTTTTAGCCTGTAAAAGAGTTCAACTGAAATAAGGCCCAGTATGAGTTGGTATACATGTGCAGGTCTGGACATTTCTCCCATTTATTCTTCTTTCCCAGAAAGCTTTGGGCTGTGCTCTAGAAGTTAATTGTTGTCTTTTATCTTCAGGCAGTGATTATGTAGTTCATTCTTTCAGGATTTTTCTTCTGTGCTCACATATCCTTACCCTGCAGCCTTAAGTGGTGTTGATGCAAGACAGAAGATAAAAAAAGAATCAGTTGCTAGTTCATTCTTTGTGTTTTCTGCTTTGCTATTTCAGCCATGCAGAGACATTCATCTAGTGAGTAGACAATTATTATATCCCACATTTTGTTCTTCAGAACAATTTTACTATTTCCTTCTACCAAAGAAGAAAAACCCAAACAAAGTCACTGAATACATATACTATGCCTTTGCTGGCAGGAGACGTACAGTGTGCAAGCTATATAGCGGACAACTCTAGGCAATGGTAGATGCTCAATAGACCCCAGAGGCCTGCAGGAAGGCAGGATAAAACTGTCTTCAGTATTCTGCATTGAAAGGGTACTCCTTGTGATTTTTGCACCTGGAGGAAATCAAATATGAAAGATTACTCTCAAGGCTGAAATAAATGCTATGTAGAACTACACTGGGTGTATAGAGGAGTCTTCAAGGGAGGCTCTGAACTGTGTAACTGCAGAATGAATTTAAGAGACCTATTAGTATAGAAATGGCATACATGACCAACAAGTTCAAGTCTTTTACTGTTATTCAGGCACTGAACAGTGGTCAGACCAGGTTACTTTGTAGATAAAGAATTCAGCTGCTGTCGGAGAAAACAGCAGTTTCTGTGGCCTTTCAGCCAAGACTTGCTTGTCTTGCTAGAGGCTTCCAAGGTGCACATCTGCAAGTAGTCATTCTTCATCCTGCACTTCAGATGGTCTTTCCCTCCCCCAACCACGTACGGAAGAGCTGACATCACTTTATAACTCACAGAAAAAAAACCAAAACACCCATAAATTTAAAACTGCCTAATGCTCATTTCTCCAATATGGACATAGCCAAAGTTATCAACTAGAACCCTGCTTTGGAATTCCAGGCACAGTTTCCTGGATAAAGGATTCACAGTGAACACATAGTATGACTTATACTCATCCTTTAGTCAATCAAGTGAAAATATAACTCCACTAAGATGTTAAATAACAGCTACTTCCTCCCCCAAATGATTTCAGATTTCAAAATATACCCAATTTAAACAGCTATGCCAGTACCTGTGAGATCAGAATAAAGATTATTGAAAATTAAGACTTTGAAGGAAACAAGCTGTCACTTACGTGATCATTTCACAGATCCTCCAGTTTCTGTTTAAGCTGAGAAGGGCTGCCATCTCCTCTTTAGTCAATTCAAAGTCAAACACCTAAAAGAGAAACAGCTGGAAATCACCTCTTTGAACAAATCAAATCAGAAGCAAGATTCACAAGATTAATAAACAAGTTCACATCAGAAAGGCTGCAGGCTAGAAATGATGGCTTCATGAGACAGGGAAAGGAAAAAGAAGTATCTTTGGATTTTCAAGACTCTACTGGCAGAGGGAAGAAACAAACAGAAGAGATTGCCAGTTGTAGTTACATGTGCCAGCTGTTCCAAGATGTTTGGTGAGCACCTTAGTGTTTCAGAATGCCTCTATTTGTGGAAGATGCATTTTCTCCAATTCCAAAGAAACATCTGGAAGACTTTCATATTTCAATAAATCCAGCTATGTTACTTCTGAAATCTTCATGTCCCATACCAGGAAAAAAACCCTGACTTAACAGTCAGAGGAGCGATGTGGTTTATTGACACCAGGACTCTTCCCCTCACATTGCTTACTCCATATTTTGAGGAATGTTACTGCACTTGGGCTCCAGGCAAGCCCTGCCCACCACTTCATCCACAAGGAGACACTGTATAAGGTGCCTGATACAGTTATCAACATATTGTTTCCAAGAGCTCTGTCTATCTTTTCTCCAGTCCTAATGTAGCCCTAATTTCCAGACAGAGAGAAAAACCCCATCCTCTTGCCTGACAAGGACTTGGGAAGGGTGAGAAAGGATCACTGCTTGCTCTGCAGGGAGAAGGCATGCCATCCTCGAAGGGCAGCACCCAGCTCACTCGTAATCATTCACCTTGGAGTTCTCCACAATGCGCTGTGGTGTGACAGACTTGGGAATCGCAATCACATTTCTCTGGATCTGGAAGCGAAGGAGAACCTGCAGGAACAGATAACTGAGTCAGAGAAAGGATGGCTCCTGCTCTGGAGGAAGCAGAGCCTGTTCCAACAGCTGTTTTCCCTAAGCTATACCCATTTCTGCAGAGCTGCATTTCAAATCCTTCCTGTTGCTGTGGCCTAGGTAGCACTTCCGGGAGAGCAATGATGGAAGAGCCCACATGGAAGGCCTCCTTTCCTATCCAGTTTGGGACAGTTAACTCCTTTTCTTCCCACCTGGGCTTTTAGCAGTCCATGCAAGGCTTTCGTTCTCTGCAGGACTTTAGAGGGGAAGTGACATCTGTGAAGATGGGTCAAGAATCCTTTTCTGTCTGAGGGCCAAAGAAATAGTAGCAGCATATATTGTAGGCCACAGTGTAGGCAACCCACATTGCTTGTTAATGCCACAAAAGGGCACCACAATTCACAGGGAACACTGATAAAGGTTGTACCCTCTCTTCAGACATAGTTTCCTTAATGGCTGTGTTACTGGAAGGAGTACCCACTGTTTGGCACCTACCCACCTGCGCTGGGGTTTTGTTGTGCTTGGCTGCAATCTCTTTGATCTTGGGGTCATCCAGAAGACAAGGCTCCTCTGGCTTAGCCCTACACAGATGAAGAAAAGGAAGAAACAGCAAAGAATCACTCCAGAAAGATTCTACCTAGCATGAGTAATTTTTAAAAATAATAATATATATATACACCTGCACAATTACTCATTCAGTTAGTCTGAATGTTTCAAATTTAGACCATACTAACCCACTTGGAAATTACCTGTCAGGGCGTCCAAGGGGACAGTATGCTGTCACAGTGATCCCTTTGGATTGGCAATAGTTGATAAGCTTCTCCTGGGTGAGGTATGGATGACACTCAATCTGCCAACACAGGAGCAGAGACAGACAGTTGTAGAACTACTGTAGTGTTCCCATGCTCCAGAGTTGTTTTTTTTTTTCTGAATCCTGATTTCCTACTAACAGGCTGCCTTCATCCTACCCTACATGTGGTCTGTGTGACAATACAAAACTATAATTCTATAGGGCACAACTTTTGTGTTGAGTCCTTATGTGCTTTTTGGATTTTGTTCTGAGAGGCTTTATAAGAGTCAATGATTACAGTCAGAATGATAGCTTGTGTCTAGATTATTTATCCCTCCAGAGAGAATGCTTCATAGAAAAGCACTCCAGAATATGCAAAAAGTGGTTCAACAAGGTGAGACAAAAAGGAAATATACTGGTCTTTTTTGTACCAAGAAGTATCCACAGAGTGGGATTTAGAGTACATGCTGTGCCTACTTTGTTCTCCCTTTTTCTGTCTCCTCATTCAACTGTAATCAGATCTTCATAATCCCTGAAAACTATTCACCTGCAGTCACTTAGCAGTTTACCTGGTTATTTGCAGGCTTGTGCTTCAGTCCCGGCTTGTTCAAGATTCTTTCGGTCTGCTCACGGTTAAAGTTGGAGATTCCAATGGCTTTTACCAGACCAGCATCCACTAGCTCTTCCATGGCCTAACACAAAGTGGAGCAAAGTCAACATCCAGTGTACAAGATGTGACCTGAATACATTCTTCCTGATGTGGCTTGTTTCCCTTCATGGAAAGCACAAAACAACTGTTTGGACTTGCTGGGTTTTTGATTCTCAAGGGGAAAAGTGGGTACTGGTAGTATCTATGCCATATCTTCTGCCCAAAATATTTCTGAGACTGTGAAATTCACCGAATTACACAAGGAAAAGAAGACTCTAACTCTACTGTTGTCACAGCACTGGAGGGCTGTGTCCTAGGAGGATGGCAGGATCATAACCCAAGTGTCTTTCTGCAAAATCTGTCTGAGCAGTTCAAGAACTGCATGAGAACTATGCTGAAGAAAAATCATATAGTTACAGTCAAGTAAATAACTTTTTCTAGCCTCAGTCTGGTCTGCAGCTCCACTGAAAGTGATTGTGCAGCTCAGTAACTTGAGATACTAATCCACAGTGAATAGGAATAATAGCGTGTCTAAGCATGCACATTTTCAAAAGCTACCACATACTTTTGTGAATTCTTTCTAACTAATTCTGCATATATGCATGAGCCGTTCTGTGACTGCTGAAGCTAACACCACTGCTGAGGACAGAAGACATGACCCTTCCACTGTGGCTGAACTTACCTCCCACGTATGCAGAATATCTGTGTTGCTGGGTATAGACATGCCTTTGCCATCTGTGGGAAACAGCTCCTCTCCTGCCTGTCAGTGACAAAGAAAATGCTTGAAAATCTGTTGAGAAGTTTGCTTAATACCATGAGAGCTCACAACCACAATAGCTTAAACTTCTGGTGCAGGCAAGAACACTAATTTTTGTCTACATTCAGTCATTTCTTCCTGAGGAGTGGGAGCAATTTAAGGCATTTTTGCCAGTGACCATTCCCATAAAGACAGGTTTTTCTGCTGGACCCCTCAAAGTGATGACTTACCCAGACACCTACAGGGACACAAACGACTCAGAACTATAGCCTCCAGTCTCATACATGTTCACTTCATGTTTTGTTCTTTTGTGTCTGCTTCAGAAGAACTGTTTTTGTTCTTCTTCCAGGAGGGTGTAAGGGGACCTTGTTAGGTACTAGGAGCACACAGCTTTGGTCTACACAACATCAGATCTGCTCAAAAGAGGTATTATGTACAGTGACAGTTCTTCCATGACAAAGCTCAGCGTAAAGCTGCTAATTCTAGGAAATTAGAAGAGCCTTTGCGTACAAGTTATGAAAAGACACCAAGACTGAACTGCATTTAACAGCTCTTTGCTGCTGTAACCATGAGACAGTTTCATTTTCATGGCTTTGTTAACATAAAGCTAAAATAGAGTATGAAATAAAGATGAGCATCTCAAAAGCAACAGGTAGGATGGAAACTGATCAGACTGTAGTAGGACACAAAGGCTAAGACTAGAAATAGTCAAACTGAGGCATCAACTCCTTCGCTAATCTGTGAAAGAATTTAGGGCCCCAACAAGTTTCACCTTTTGAATTCCTGTCTCAGTGGAACAATACTAAGGCTCCGGCAGGCAAGGTCAGCTTAATCTGTACTGTATTAAGGACTTGATGATTAAAGAGAGAAATGGGAAACAGAAATATCTTCTCTTGCTCTGTGATTTTGTAACACACAGAGGAAGATTTCTTACAGGCAGCAGTTCAGCCCTTCTTCCCGCAAGGGGTAATTTTCAGATGAGCATACACTGATTGTAAGAGAGCACAGTCTGTCTTATGCTTGCAGCTAGGAGACCTGCCCCTAGTTTTCAGACCATCATTCCCAGGATCAAAGGGGTATGCAAGCAACAGTCTCAGAGGCAGAGATCAAGAGCCTGGCTCATATGGCCAGAGTAAAGCTGAGCACCAGAGCAGTGCTGGTACACACAACAGACACGTGATTCTCTCTCAGACAGGGCAATTGTTGGGCTGTAAAGCTATATAGCTCCCCAAAAGCTGTAGTCACAAGAAACAAAGCCAAGGGCATTGCTGCTACTGTACCTTCAAACCAAAAGGCCAGTGCACAAGGTAGAGATCCAGGTAATCCAGTTTCAGGTCAGCAAGAGTCTTCTGGCAGGCTCCCTTCACCAGAGGTTTGTCATGAAATGTGCACCATAGCTACAGAAAAAAAAGAAGGCACACCGTGACCTCCTGGGTTAAAAGCTCCTGGGTGCTCTCCTGCACAGGACAAAAATGCTCCATTTCCTTTGGAACACAATGTGGAATGAGGCCATCCTAGTGCTCTTCAGATGGGCCTTGCTCTGTGACGGGACTGGCCTGTGACACTGAAGGCAGCATGTGCAGTGGCAGCCCAGGTATTTGAGCAGGATCATAACAAAATCCTCTGGTTCCTTTAGTTAAGACATAATTTGTGCTACCCTCTTCTACACAGAGTCTGCCTTTGCAATAGGGGGCTTTTAAATGAAGACATATATCTGTCATTCCTGACATGCGTAAAACTCTTGCATTGAGTTAACAGGCAAAGCCAAGAAAATACAGAAAAGCCACAAAGAAACAGTTGGCACCAACATTTACCAAGGTACGAAGCAACTTCAGAATCCAGCTAAATAGCCTGTTTTTCTTAACAAGCAGGAGAAAGAGAACCCACCAACCACACCTTCCTTGGGACATGTGCTGAGCAGATTACACTGTCCCAAGGTGCCCAGAACCTCATCTTCCTCACACGGCAGAGACACCCCTTCGGCAGGACTGCAAGCCCGGCTGCTGGAACAAGCACCGGCCACTGCCAGGCTCATCTACTCTGCTGTGCTTTAGCAGTCAGTGCGGTGCCATTACCAAACTCGTTCTGCCTCTGTATCAGTCCTTTACAGCGAGCGATCTCAGACGTCTGCGTCTCTGGTTTCTACCTTGCTTGGTGCTATGTGGTCCACTCTACCTTTTTCTGCTTCCCTTCTTCTGCCTCAATGGGTCTGCAGATGGCCTCTCCTCATCCATCCCCCAGCACTTCTGGGTCTCCTCACCAGAGTGCGAGACCACAGCAAGGCTGTGGTGCTCAAGCTTTCTGTAGATTTTGGGGAGGAAATTGGAGTCTTGACTTCCTTCAGTGTTATTGGATTGACTAGGGAAGAAAAGAAAGCTGCCACCAGACAGTTAGAATACGGCTGATTCTTCTCCCTGCTCAAAGCTCACGGAAGTCACTCTTCCTATCCAATGGTTACAATAAGAAAAATTACTATTAGTGGACAGGAAAGAATCAAACGCTATTACTGTGCTGATGAAATGAAACAAGAAAGTTGTATCAGGAGTGATCTCATTTACATTATGAGCTTCTCCAGTGCTACACCATAAAACTACTTTAGTTTCCTACTGTAGCAATATCACAGGTAAAGCTGGTCTGTCTATGATCCAAGACCATCTGATTTTTACCTTACTGACAACGAAGAGGTCCTCTCGTTTCACAACGCCTTCCTTGATTTTCTGCTGGATCCCCTCCCCAACTTCCTTCTCATTCTGGTACACATAGGCACAGTCAAAGTGGCGGTACCCAGCATCGATGGCAGCCATCACTGCAGCTGCCACCTTACCTGGGGGGGACTGAAGGGAAAAAGGGTATGATACGCCTTGATTTGGGATTCTCACATGCTGCTCCTCAGGTAGCCAGAAGGCAGATAAACACACAAAGGGGCTTTAAGAGGAGCTTTTCCAAAAAGCTTTCTTGGGTGCGTACACACCTCGGGCAGAGGCAGCTGAGCTTCCAGCCAGCCTCCAGCCGCTCCTCTGCAACCCCACTCCCAGGCAGGGCT